GATTTAAAATATTTATTTAAGATAGCATAATTAATAATCTATAAGTTGTTGATAACGTGTTAATAAAAGTATAAAGTAATCATTCAGTGTTCGCAATTTTCAGCTTTACCTGTGGTTCTGAAACAATTAAATGTTTATATTTTTTTACACTGTCCATAATTAAAAATAACTATGACAAAAAAAACAAGTACGTTATGCACATATATATTTTACATTTGCTTAGTTTATACGTCCATCTGCTCGTGGATACCACCAGTAGAATCAGCAAGAATATTGGCCGTAAACACARTTGGTGGCAGAAGTCATTGGAATTACATAAGTTCTATACTACGTGTTTTATCAAATAATGGTCATCATGTCACTGCGCTTACATCATTTCCGGACGGTGATCGAGCCAACTATACGGAAGTAGATATATCTGATACTCAACCAATATTTCTAGAAATGAGTTTCCTTGATATATTTGATATGTTCGGATCTTCAACAAAGATGATCAACTATGTGAGAACTAATCGTTATATGATATGTGATGGAGTGTATAGAAATGTTCAGTTAAATAAAATAATGGAAGAAAAAGAAAATTCCAAATTCGATGTAATCATGATTGAAACCATGGGATTCGATTGTGAAAAGTATTTAGCGCATAAGTTAAACCTACCATTGATTATTTTAGTTTCTTCACCAATGGTAACATTTATAGAAGATTCGATTTTCGGTCACATTCCAAATCCAGCGACAGTTTCTCATTTATATGCTGATTATGCCATTCCAGAGACATTTGTTCAAAGATTATCAAACACTGTATTTTTGGGGTACAGTATGATGCTTTTAAGTGTTGACAAATGGATAAAAAAGTATACAGTCAGTAGACCATATGATTGGGTACCAAATACTGTTCAACCATCTCTAACATTTCTGAATAGTCATTTTATAAGTGATGCTTCGAGACCATTTCCACAAAACGTTATACAAGTCGGTGGCATACATTTGAAACCTCCAAAGAGTATACCGAACGTAAGTAAAATAACACATACTCTAATTCTCACCTAATGTTTGATGGTACAGTGTYCGTTTGAATCCATAGTAATACTTCTGAAGGTTAACATTAAATTTTTTCAATATAGTTTTAAAGTTTTTGAAAATAATGTTTTATTATTCTTTTTCGAATAATGGTATACACTTATTGTTTCATATAGCACACAATATTTTTTAATATAAAACTAAAAACAAAAATTTAATATAGAACATGTATTTGCTAATATTGCTATTAATTTTGTTAAGTCTTATGAGCTCAATGGTAAATCATTATGTTGATACTTTTTATGTGATTAACTATTAAGTGTATATAGTAATAAGTTATAACCGGAACGGGGAAAATCAGATCTCATAAATATTCCGCTGCTAAACAGCTTACTTCTCATAACCCAAATAATATTATTTATCATTTTATCAACACAAAAACTCAAAAGTATTCATTTTTTACAATGGCCATTATTGTATGTAATGTAGTATTAATATTATAATGTTAAAATAATATTGTAATATAACATAATATAGAGATGCTTTGAATTTTAATGAATCAAAATCAATGATTTACATTTTTGTATATTTAAAAGTAAACAATTTTACTTGTAAAAAACCTATTATAAAAATTATATATAATATATATTTTTATTTTAGGGTATATTAGAACTTATTGAAAATTCTCCACATGGGGTAATTTTGTTCACATTAGGTTCAGTTRTCAATATGTCTACATCACCTGACTATATTATAATGTCTTCAATAATAAAAGTATATCTATATTTTTTTTTCAGGACATATTAGAATTTATTGAAAATTCTCCACATGGAGTAATTTTGT